ACTTTCAAGTTTTTGTTTCAAAAGAGCAGAGCTTAATGGAAAATTCAACATATAAGATCAGGAGAAATAGAAGGTAAACATTGAAGACCAATTAGAAGGGACTCAATAAGGTCAAACTGTTCACTTCTTATATGTGAAAATGTTTTTAGTATTCTTATGACTCATCATTTTTTGGGTAGGTATGGGCTGGGCTCTGTGTGATGGGGTGGTTCTAAAAGTAAAACTTTGTAGGGAGAGATAAAAATGAATAATTATTTTGTACACATGATGCATTAAAGGAAGAATTGATACAGAAAAAGCAAGTGGGGAGGGGACTGGTAGTGCTAGAACCTTACTCTCATCAGAAATGGGTTAAGAAAAGAATAACATGTATATCTAGAAGGTTATAAAAGTCTTCCAAATTTAGAAAGAAATAAGGGGGTTAAGGGATAGGATAGGGAGGGACTTTTAGAAGGGTCTATAGATTAAGAATTAGGAGGGGAGAGGATAAGGGAGAAACTCTTAGAAAGATAGGTAAATTAATGTAAAGGGTAGGGGGAGAGGATAAGGAATCAACTCTTAGAGGGATGGATAGATTAAGGAGGGCAAGTTAGCTGTAGAAGTAAGTTAGATGAGTGAGCAGGGAAAAAGCAAATAGGGTGAGAAGGATAGTGAGGAAAAATAGGATGGAGGGAAACTCATAACAAGTGATTATAACTTAGAATGTGAATGAGATGAATTTACCCACAAAACAGAAACAAATAGCAGAATGGATGAAAAATCTGAACACAATAATATGTTGTTTTCAGGGAACATAATAAAAATGAGATTCACACAGACAAAATAAAGAGCTGGAGTAGAATTTCTTATGTAAAAAAATAAACAGGGGTAGTAATCATGATATTAATGGTAAAACAGATTTAATTAAAAGAGGAAAAATAGGGAAACTATGGTATGTGTCACCAATATTATTCAATATTATTTTAGACCATTTAAAATAACTAGACAGAATAAAATACTTGAGAGTATACCTGCCAAAACAGACACAGGAACTACATGAACTTAAACATAAAACACTCTTTATACAAATAAAGTCAGATTTAATTAATTGGAGAAGCATTCATTGTTCATGAATAGGCAAAGTTAATATAATAAAAATGACATTTTAATGTAACTGATCTATTTATTCAATGCCATCCCAAATAAATCACTAAAAATATTTTACCAAATTAGAAAAAATGATAGTAAAATTCATTTGGAAGAACAAAAGGTGAAGAATTTCAAAGAAACTAAGGGGGAAAAATGAAAAGGAAGGAGATTCAGCAGTACCAGACCTTAAACTATGTTATAAGGGAAGAGCATTTTTAATGTATAAAATGATTATTTTATTTTATTTTTTTTGTTTTTTTTTGTTTTTTGTTTTTTGGTTGGGCAATGGGGGTTAAGTGACTTGCCCAAGGTCACACAGCTAGTAAGTGTTATGTGTCTGAGGCCGGATTTGAACTCAGGTCCTCCTGAATTCAGGACTGGTGCTCTATCCACTGTACCACCTAGCTGCCCCTAAAATGGTTATTTTAAATTAACATTTTATTTTAAAAATAAAAATCAGTATAGCCAAGATTAGAAAGAAAGCAGAAAACTGGGAGGAAAACTTTCATAGATAATCTCTCAGATAGGATATGGTTGTGGTGGAATGCTGTTGTAATAGAAGAAAAGGACTGGTTGATTTAGAAAACACATGGAAAGATTCAGAGCTATGAAGGAGGATGCTATCTACCTCCAGCGAAAGAACTGGCAAATAGAAATATACATATTATGGTCTCATGTAATATGTATATGTACATATGTGTATGTTTATAGATATGTATATGTATTTGCCTTTAATTGTAGCCTTCTTGGGGTGGGGGCAGGGAGGGAGGAAAAAAAAAAGTAAAAAATGGGCCTCAGAGACCAACAACAACAAAAACCTGGCAGGAAGCACAGACAAGCTGGGCAGCTTTGAAAATAATATGCAGCATTTATTTCATAGGTTTTTATATTGAATCTTCCCGTATTCTGCTGTGTACGTGGAAATGTTCTTTTTACCTTTTCTCATTTTGTATTTGTTTAAAATGAATAAAACATTAGCAATTGTATTACAGCTGTTTTTTGGCGATAATAGCTGACTTTACAAGACACTTTCAGTGTATGAAGCACTTTTTTGTGCATTAGACATGTGGCATAGTAGATACAGAATGAGCTTCTTAGCTGGAAAGACCTAAATTCAGATCTTGCCTCTGGCACCTGCTGTTTCACCTCTGAGTGCCCTAGACTTTGCCTCCATGTTCAACCACATCTTCCCTCTGCCCCAGTGGCTCTTTTCTCCCATTGCTTAGTTCTTCCCAAACCTCCATTTTGTGAAAGGACCCAAAACAGACAAATGAAAGACCCTTCATTTCCCACACTTTCTTGCCACGTCCACACATGAGTACCTCCTCTTCCCCTCACCCCTACCAACTTCCTTTCATTTGCTTGTCCCTCCCAATGGGAATCAAGCTCCTCGAAGCTGGGAGTTGTCATTTTGCTTGTGTTTTCATTCTCAGCACTTAGCATGGTGTCTGGCTCACAGGATGTGCCGCGTAAATGCTAATCGACTTAATCCTAGTAAGACTGTAACATGAAGAGAAGGTGCCAGCCAGTGTTGGTAGAGACGATTGCTCAATGGGACTTCCTTTGATCAGTGAAATCACAGGTCTGGTCTCCCGTTATCAAGTGGTTCAACAGTCAAGTGCGGTAGGCAACTGTGGTTTTTATTGTCCACGTTTTTTACTGTTGAGGAGGCTAAGGCTTAGTGCGGTTAAGTGGTTCACGATCTTTATTTATTTATATCTCTATTTCCTTCTCTCTCCTGTATTTTAAATTCTTTGATGGTAATGACTGTGTTTTCTTTCATCTTTGTATTCCCAATGCCTAATGCAGTACCTTGGAAATTGTACGTGATTAATACATATATGTTGATTGAAATCAAACAGGACAAAATAGAGTGGGATTATTACCATCTCCATTTCAAGTTCTTTGTTGACCCTTAACGCAGCCTAAAACCACATCCGCCTTTTTGGCGAAGTAACATCATATTGCTGAATTATTTTGAACTTGTGCTTTCCCGAGATATCCTGTGCTTTTCCACTTTGTAAACACGAGTCTGTACAGGAATACTATCATGCCTGGATGTTCACGAGAACGCTTGTTGTTCAATCATTTTTCAGTCACATCCAACTCTTGGTGACCCTATTTGGGGTTTTCTTGCTAAGGATACTGGAGTGGTTTGCTGCCTCCTTCTCCAGCTCATTTTACAGATGAGGAACTGAGGCAAATGGGATTAAGTGACTTGCCCAGGATCACACAGTTAGTAAGTTTCTGAGGCCACGTTAGAACTCGGGAAGATGAGTTTTTCTGACTCTGGGCCCTGTGCTCTGTGCGCTGTATCACCTAGTTGCCAACTCATGAGAACTAGTTCTTTACAACAACTATCAGAAATCATTGCCCTTACGGGCAGTGTCTCAAAATCCAATATGTCTGACAAATGTTGCCCTTTTACCCCTTCAAGATTACTCAGTCTAAAGCTCAACAAAATCAGATTAAGGCTACATTCTATAATTCATCTAAACAGCACGGTGCCAGACCAAACAGAGGCAAGAGGACCAGAATTTAAATCCAACCTCGGACACCTACTAGCTGTGTGACCCTGGGCAAGTCCCTTAGCCTCTGTTTGCCTCAGTTTCCTCATCTGTAAGATGGGGATATAACACCTATCTTTCAGGACTGTTGTGAAGATAGAATAATATTTGTTAAGTATTTTTTGCAGACCTTAAAGCATTATAGAAACGCTCGCTCTTATTGTTGTTGCTATTTATTTCAAGGACGGGACGTTAAAGCAAGCAGCTAGAAAGGTGGATCTTCAGCTTCCATTTCCTTAAGAAAGATCAAGATGGAAACTGATGTAATTCATTAAATATAGACAATTCACATGAAGCATTTGAGGTAGGAAAATATAAGGCATCAGAGTAGGGTAGGGCGGAGAAAGCTGAGGCGATTCTGGACCACAGCCGAAGAGCCATGTGAAGGGAGGTGGGAGAGGAGAATGAAAATGAAGCCTGCCACACGGGAGAGGAAAGCCTCGAAGCTGTACATTCGTCTATAATTAGAGTTCTTTACTGTTGTTGTTGTTGTTGTTTTTTCAATTCTTTTACAAATAAGGAGTGATAGACATCTTGGGTTTGAAAGAAATATCAAGGATCATTGGCAAACAGTCTATTGCTATTAGTTAATTAATAAATGATAGAGGGCATTTTTTCTCCTCACTGCATGAAAAGCCTAGTAACTCTAATTTGTTCAACCTCTAATCATTTTAAGACACCTTTGAAAATGGTTTTACAAAACTCAGTAGTGCCTGTGAGCCCAGAGGAAGCTGCTCCTTTATCTTCCTGACTCAGAGGCGTCGTCCGGTTGTTTTTCAGTCGTCTGGCTCTTCGTGATCCCATTTGGGGTTTTCCTGACAGATATACTAGAGTGCTTTGCCACGTCCTTCCTCAGCTCTTTTTACAGATGCAGAACCTGAGACGAGAAAGGTTAAGTGACTTGCCTGGGGTCACACAGCTAGTAAGTATCTGAGGTCAGATTTGAACAGGGCACCTTTGCTATTTAAAAGCCGGAAGCCTTTGATGTCTCTTAGGTAGAGGAGGATGAGAGGAGGATGGGTTAGTATAAAAGCTGGGGCTTAGTCTAAGTTAGGATGAGACTCACCCGTCCATCCACCCACGCAGAAAGAAACGATGTGAAAAGCAGATACGTCGTCTAGCTGGGGCAAGGATGGGGGGGCAGAGGATATCCCAGTCAGAAGTTGAGTGTTTAGGATGGCCAGGGATGTGGTTTTCCTCTGATGAACTATGCTGGTATGCTGGAATGCTGAGTGCCTACAGCTAGGGGCCGCGTGGAAATTGCATCTCTTAAGCCTCTTTGGTGTTTTGTTTTGTTTTCTACAGGCTGAGACTGTCCCCAGGGGGGAAAAGGGCCCAAAACCATATGGCATATTTTCATTGGAACACAAAGCCCTTCTTTCCTGCGCTTTATCAGAATTACGGAAAAAAGAGTACCCGCAGCAGCCCCGAAAGTTGAAGCGCATTCCGGGTCAGTCACATGAGTCTTTTTTCCCCCTCAGTAAACTGTCTGAATGAAAAGAAGTTATCGTTGGTTTGAGTCGTGGCACAAATTTTAAATCACATGAACGATACATTGAGAATATTGGGTAAAGTTGCACTTCTCATGATTATGGGGAAGTGTGTTTGTGCACATGTGTATGCACATATACACACATGCACTTAAGTTTCAGATTTATCAAGATAGCGTTCAGATGAACTGTGCAGAGTAAGGCTGACCTCCGCAGCTTGGGAAGCGTCATTGCTATTGTTTTTTGAACATTGACACCTTTTCTCATATCCTAGTTTTTCAGTTCTCCCCCCGCCCCGAGATGACTTTATATTATTTTGAATGCACTTTCTCATTAATGAACATCTATATGGACATGTAACTTGCAGCAGGGTATAAGGGGCTTGAAGGCAGAGACTTGGTTTTGTTTTTGAATCCCTTGTACCTAGCACAAGGCCATGTATAGACAATGAGCTTAATGAATATTTACTGAATTGATTCAGAGCCCCCATCAAAAATTGTGACATATCTAAATCCTTTTAATATCACATCAAAAAAAGAAATGGAGAGATGCTCTGCTTTACATAATACATTTATGACTGAATAAATTATTTTATAAGTTGTATTATTTTAATTTGTATGCAATCTGTTAATTAACAAATGTTCAAATGATAGCAATTCTAGTTTTTGCAAATGTCTTACTCCTACACCTTTTTATAACATGAAAGTGCCCGTAGGTTCCCAACATGTCAAGTTGGACCCAGTGATGAATTGTATGTCTGTTATAGAAGGACAAGTCTAGTTAAATTCAGAGCCATAATATAAGATTGGCCCCTGAATGCTTTTGTTTGTTTGTTTTTTCTTTGAAATGCAACTCTTGAATACTGATTCATAGAAGAGATGAAATCTTTATTGGTGGAAAGAACATTAAATAAATAACAACAACAATAATAAAACAACTATTTCTAAAAGCTTATTTTTACCTGAGTGTAGCACATCTTCTGGGCTGTTCTCACAACTCACACTTATGCTGAAGGCATGGATTCCACAGTGAGTAGATTCTACCTTGGTTTCTGGGGAACTCTTCTGGCCATTATTCCTAAAACTGTGACCTATGAGCCCCCAGTGGTGTGCTTACCTTTAATACTCAGCTGGTGGACACAATTGGCTCAAAATAAAGACATTTACTGAGAGTACCCATTAAGAAGTGAAGTATATGGGGGCAGTTAGGTAGCACAGTGGTTAGAGCTCTGACCTTGGAGTCAGGAGAACCTGAGTTCAAATCCAGCCTCAGACACTTGACACTTACTATCTGTGTGACCCTGGGCAAGTCACTTAATCTCGATTGCCTCACCAAAAACAAAAAAAAATACAAAACTTTCCTTTTTATAAAGTTGGGTTACATTCTCCCCCTAAAATATACAGTACCCTTTGAAAGAGTTGACACAAATTTAGAGTAGAATGTGAGTCACAAAAGAAGGGAGGAAATGAAGCCTAGATCCCTGACAAAACAATAATTGTAGGACCTGGATCTTCTTTCACTCCTGTTGAATCATCATAGGGAGCCTTCCGCTTCCTTTCCCCTGCCCCGCCCGCTCAGGTGAGAGATCTCTTGTGAGTGAGGCCCTTGCCAGGGTCTACTCTCGTACAGTGAGCCTCAATCGCAGTGCTATTTTTCTCATGACTCTGCAGCCAGCTCTCTTTCTGCTCTCAGAGACCCTGCACCTTAAAGCCTCAAGTACCTTGGGAGACTAAAATACCAATATCTAGGGGTCCTTCACATCGTTTGTGTTATGGATCCCTTTGGCATCCATCCCTAGAGCCCATGTACTCCTCAGAATAATGTTTTTGAATGCATGAAATGAATTGAAGCAATGCTAAATTTTAATCAGATGTTAGTGAAAATACAGCTCTATTTTTTACCCATTCAACTTCAGAGACAGCTTGAAATCTGTCTGTTGATCCCTTCTAGCTGTGTGGGGCTTAGGTTAAGAATCATGGGTATAGAGTGTATCTTTCTGTTTCCTGGTGCATTCTATGATTCCTAGTGATTAAGTATTTCATTTTTAAGGTTTGATAGATGATTTGGGGGTAGGGGACAGAAAACCCCTTCCCCATGTTTCTATTTCACCTTCCTAAATAAGCCCAGAGGCGTCCTCCAGAGCTCTTCCAAATGTCCACTGCTCTGAGTTATTACACTTGATCCTGAGGTTAGCTGCTTAAAGGTTTTTGAGCATGTGGCCCATTTCTGGCTAGAACAACTGGGCCTTTTCGACTTGTTCACCCTTCACGAAAGAATCACCAGCTCTGGACAGATTTTGGCAGTTAGTTTAACACCTTGGTGATATCCTTTGATTACATTTTGGGCTTTTCTGGGATGTGGAGTGTGGTGGGAGAGAAAGACCACCTACCTTAATAACGAAGTTTACTAATCTTACTGATGTCACATAAGCAAATAGTTAAATTATTTTGTAGCTAATTTCATACTGAGCTTTATTATAAGAGCCTTAAATTTGTCATTTTATTTTCTCTTTGGAAATTGTAGAAGAAACACTCTCAATTTATCCAAGTCCAATATAAGTTAGTGTAACTCTGTAGTTAGAGCTCTATAGCTCTAATTTCGCCATCCGTTACCATTTTCTTTTCCCTTTCTCCTGGTAAGCAGGGTAAGAGAGGGAAATAGAGGAAAGAATTCAATTTCCTTATTTCTCAGTCTCTCACCTTTCCTCAATGAGATAAAAATGTTCTGCTCTAACAACATGAAAATATATCTTTTAGGTCTTTCATGTGGAAAATGAAGAAAGTCTAACAACTTTCTCTCTCTCTCTCTCTCTCTCTCTCTCTCTCTCTCTCTCTCTCTCTCTCTCTCTCTCACACACACTCTCACACACACACACACATTTGAGGAATTGGACCTAGAGAGAATAGTGCCTGTGTGTTAGCCCCAGAGATCTCTTGGTCCAGTGGGTATTTATTTTAGAACTTCATAAAAAGGGAGCTTATGGGGAAAGAAATATTGTAAAACAAGTTGTTCATATAAAGTATCAATTGACCAATAAGCATTTATTAGGGACTTATATATTACTGGCATTTTGCTAACTGCTAGAGATATGAAGAAAGACAAAACTATGATTCTATGCCCCTGAAGAGCTCAGGTTCTCTTGGAAGAGATGGTACAAACAGCTATGGGCCATATGTGATATATCTACAGTGCAATGGAAGGTCATCTTAAAGGACCAGAGCTGCAGAGGTGGAGAGTGAGAGCATATCTTGCACAAGGTGGACTTTGAGTTTAGCCTTAAAGCAAACCAAGGAAACCAGGAGGCAGAGGGCAGGGGAATGAGCACTTTAGGCATAGTGGAATGCCAGGGAAAGGGGACAGAGGCAGATAGAATGCCCTGAACTAGCGAAGAGGGCAGTGTAGCCAGATGGTTGGGTGCATGGAAGAGAGTCAAGTGTAAGAAGACTGGAAAGGTAGGAAGGGCTCAGGTCAGGAAAGATTTGAAGCAGGATTTTAGATTTCATCCCTGTAGGTAAAAAGAAACAATGGAATTTTTTGAGGGAGAGTTAGGGGAGGCTTTCAGAAGGAATGAAAAGGTTGGGAGTAGCTGCTGTTATGAGAGGGAAAATGGATTATTTCAGGAAGCATCACAGCATGATCTTGTTGCCGTGAGGGCCCAGTGAAGATCAGGTGATCTTACTTTGTAATAGATTTGGCCACCATGGTTTCATGAAGGAGGAGCGAAGGAGGTGGGAGGTGGGAGTCATCCAAGGTCTGGCTTCCACACCTCTTACAACCACACATTTTTGCGCAGATTTGCTTTTGGTCTCTTCTCACTCAAGCAGTTTTAAATAAATCTAAGGTATAACCGTTCAAAAAGACAAAACACTTCACCTGAATGTTGGGCTCAACTGAAAAATTTAGAAGAAAAAATGTCTTGTGGCTTGGGAAGAAAACTCTCCATTTAAAATGTCTTATCAGCTCAGCATTATTATCTTATTAGACAGAGAAGGAAATTAATGAAATGATTTTGACCTCCTATGTTACACTTCTCCTCTACCCCTCTCCAGCCAGCGTTGGCCTGAAGCGCTCTCTGCTCCACTTCAGGCATCGTGTGCTCTATCGTCCCTTTTCTTCCTCCTCGGCTGAACGTGAAGCTGTGATTCTTCCACTCCAGCTTCTCTTTTATATCTCCTCAGCAAATATTGTCCTTTTTCCTCCTTTTTCATAAAGCTACTTGTCATTGTAGAATAAGTGTTTGCGTGGGACATGGTAGCTCCATGAATCTTCTTACTGCAGCTTGTCCAGAAGATATATTTTTAGATGAGAATGTAAGGAATTAAGGATACAAATTCCATCATTTTGTTGGAAGTGCATGATACTCCTCAGGCAGCAATTTTAACCATAAAAGCTATGTTATCCTGGTTAAAAAGTCTTTCTAGTGAGTATAACTGAGGAACCAGCCAAACCTCCCTGGTTATTTCAGGACAGCATGCATTGTTCGATGATTACATAAGAAGGAAATTCGCATCTTTTACAAAAAGGACCAGCTGTTAAACTCAAAGATATTTCTGAGAAGAAACTGATACTTCCTGTATAAAGTGTAAGGTTGAGGGGGTTAATTACTGAAGGGTCATTATATCAGAGTGCCCAGGATCAGATTTATGCAATCTTTAGTAATTTTATCTCGATTACCTACTTTGCCTTTATCTAAACCCACTTATGGCTCTGAAATTAGATGGGTCTGGAAGAATTCTTATGGTTTTCAATAAAATGCATTACATTTTCCAATGCCTGCATTTTTCTTCCAAATTCATCCAGTTCATCACACCTTGCTGATTTCATTTTATCAGTGCATTGGATTGAATTTTATCAGATAATAATAGATCACAATGGCTTGTTCAAGCAATAGATCACTTTGTAGTTTTTTTTTTTCTGTATCTAGTGAGATAATTATACAATTTCTGTTGCTTCTGTTAGC